TCCGAATGATAATGCGCGCTTCCACCACGATACACGGGGCAGATAAGGGCCGGCGCGCATGCGTTGTTAAACGCGCGGCGGCCACGGGTCCAGGTGTCATTCGAGCCGGTATTCGTCGTCGGTGTCCTGCAGGATCCATCCTTCCTCTTCCTCCTCCCCTCCCCTGCCTCCTCTTCTCTCCACAATGTGTTTACAACGGCGACGACACCTCCGGTTTGCGCCTTGGTGCATCGTCTCGGGTTACGTCCGCGCGTGCTCCAACCCGCGAATTATTCGCGACACGTGCAGATTATCACCACCTTCCTGGCACCGTTTTCCCTCCGGCAGGAACGTATCCGTCGAGGCATTGAAGATTGGATCGAATGTCCTCGACGAGGCATTCTCGGTACGCGGCCGATTCCCGCTCCTCTTATCTGCAACTCTCCCTCTCTCTCTCACGCACACTCAGGGCTGGAGCATTTCAGATGCATTTATGCGCGCATGCACCGCCCGATCCACCGCCACTCTGACAGGTCTAGATCGTTATATCGGATCAATTACAATGTACACGGTTCGAGAACACGGATCGCGATTCGTTCGATTCGTGTACCGGAGGGAGTTTTGTTCAATTATATCTATCCCCGGCGAGGGGAAACGGTAATGGGCGCGAGATTAATGTAAGAGGGATCCCGGGGACAACGGGATCTGGATGTTCGCGTGCCTCTATTCGCGGTTCGAGATTTTGAAACTGGATCGTTAGATGCCGGATATATTTGAGACAAAATATTGATTTCGCTTTGGATCTTGCGTGCTCGATGACGATTATCTTGATTAAAGGATAGGGATTAGAGGAAGTTGGAGGTTACTACTCGAATTCGAGTAGAGGGACGAGATCGACGTTTGAGTTTAGATGAAATGTTTCAACGAGTTTGAATCGAGTTGTTTGTGCTTTTTTTTTTTAATGATACGATAATCTGACTTGACGTTGCATCCGATGCATTCTACGTTTTATTAATTTCGTTTCTTCTTCTCTTCCTCCTTTTGCATTTTACCGTAACGAAACGCGACGCGGCCGACGAAAACGTGCAACGGCACAATTTTCTTGTGCGCAATTTTGCACGTTTGCGCGTCGACGTGGCGACGATGACGTCGAGGACAAGGTGAAATCGAGAAGGGATAGCCCGAGCACGTACGCATATCAACAGATTAAATTGCTCAGGAATCTTCAACGTTGCTGGACATCGGTATCAGCGGATCGTTCCACTGACGTTCTTCGTCACTCGATAATAACTGTGATAAATATTTGCTTACGACGAACCATTCGTAATTATCATTCACCTGTATCCTCTGATCGATCGTGAAGCACAAGATTTCAAGAGTTTTTACGATCTAGAAGAAAATCACGCTAACTCCAGAGACGAAATTTTGCTATCTAGAACTTAAAATTAAAGAAATAGGAATACACCGTACGAGAAACTATGATTTATCACACAAAAGAGAATAAAATAGATAACGAATTCTTATTTTCTGTTCTGGAGGAAAAGAAATCTTCTAGAAGAAACGCGAAGAAGACAATAAACATCTCGCTATCTCAACTCCGTAGCCAGAAAAGCCAGCGAACAAGATGGTCTTACGAAATCGCGGCCGATAACGATTCCGCTCAGCGAGTAACGACAATATCGTAATGGAAATCGATATCGGGAACAAGCCGATCGCTACTCGTTACCGGCTCTTTTTACGGACGAATTTACGACACCCGGTAAAAAGAAGAATTTCGAAAGTTTCGAGCCGGGTGACCGGGTTCCAATCCCCGTTTTCAATCGGCGTTAAGGCTAAAACCTTGCCGCGGAGCATAAATCGCAATCTTCATTGCGCTTAGTTTATTAGAAATTCAATTCCATCCAGGTTGAATTGGCCGATCGTGTAAAACGATCGGTCGACACACGCGTATCAACCGCGTTTATATAGCTTCTGGAACCGCGCTCCAACCGTCTGATTTCTATGCAACGATCGATAGATAACAAAACGATGTAATAACAGCCATATTGTCGGGACCGTTCGACCGTATCCTTCGCATTCTTTTCACCGCGTTATAAGCGGCCGCGCTTATATCTGTGTGCCAAGTGGAAAATTATGATCGATCTCCGCCATCACCCGTTTCGTATTATCGTTCGATATGAATATATATGTGTATATTGGAAAACAATGGCGTTCGATGAGGGCGAGATATTTAAAACGCGCGGTGCTCCCTTTCAGCGAGGTGGAGAATCGGGTCTGGGTCAACGGTGCTTCGATCCCTTCCTGTTTTCGTGGCTTATCGGAGCGGAGTCAAGGCTGACACGCTACCCGGAAACCCGAACCTGAACCGCACACGATCGACAAGATATCGCAGGCCTCGTATTATTCGGCGCGACGGGCATTGACTGCACGACAAGAAAGTGTGCTCCAAAAATAGCGTTTCTCTCTGCCCGTCCAAAATTTCGTCGAAATTTTTCGCTTCACGTTTTTTTATTATTTGGAAAAATAAATAAAAGTCGCGACGCTTGTGCTCGAAGAATAAAGAAATAATCAAACGAGGAATCACCGCGCTCGTCTCAATGCGATAAAATGTTTCCAAAATAATATTAATACACGATCTATATTAAAAACTAAATCCCAAAATTTGAAAAAAATTCTTCTTTTGCTTTCTTTTCAACGATAATTCATTAAATTTGTAGATTTTATAAATTATTTGTTGAATTCACGAAGAAGGATTGTTCCGTTTTTCCTATCAAGGATTTGCACTTGGAAGCCTTGAACAAGCTCGAACGCAACGTTATTATTATTATCACGCAATTGCTGCGTCCGATCAAAAGCGATCGTGAAACAAGTTTCCAAGTCGATGCATAAGGTTGCTCTATCATCTCAAGAAGGAACTTGGATTTCACGTAAAAACCAAGCTTGAAATCGGTTATCCTTTACAACAGGATGGGAAGATCGATCCCCGACAGAAAGATTTCACGGACGTCTCGTCGGGTCCTGTTAGAGGATCCTCCACGATTATTTATCGCATCTTCGAGACAGTTTTAAGACAGGAAGGAAGTGAAATGCAATTTACGCGTGAATCGACGAAATTATCAATTTTCAGTTTCTAGATTGAATAAAAAATTATTCGAGAGCAAAAAAACAACGTTGTTGTGGTAGAATTAACAAGATTTTTGATTAGTGCTGCCTTTTTTCCTGCTATTTCAATTCTTTTTAAATTTCCTCTGAAAAATCAATTCTATCCGTGAAAAAAAAAAAAAAAAGAAAAAGAAAACGTAAAAAGATTCATTCATAAGATATTCTTGGCGCAAATTTTTCTCTACTATACTCGCATAAATAGATTTATCGAAAGATTTATTCGATGACATCATCATCGCCGTCGTCTTCGTCGTCCTCGTCGTCGTCGTCATCGCCGAGTACAGTCGCCCCTTCCGGTAGCCAAAGAGCGGCTAGACAGTCTCTGGCCTCCTTGTATGTAAAATCGTTGTTGTATTCAACGAATGAATGCATGATGGCGCATAATGGGCGAGGCTCGCGCGCTATTGCCATAAACCACGATCGTCCTACACGTCCCCACCTGTCGAGGAGACCCAGTGCCGAGGGCGATCGAAGATCAGTTGCAAAATAGCCGGCCCTGAAGCCTGGCAAAAATTGAAAACGAAAGGCGAGCGAGCAAGGCTTTCTTCCACGAACCTTCCACCACCTTCTAAGGTTTCTTCGTTGCACCTGAATCATTCGCG